TTATATTAATATTTAGGTTTAATTCTATTTTAATTTTAGTTATTTATTTCCAATTAGTAATTTTAGTGCTTTAACTTTCATTTAGTTTAGGCTTTTCATCTAATATTTATATTTTATTTAATTTCAGGCATATTACAATTAACAAAAAATTTTTAAAATAGTTTTTAGTTCATGATAATAAACAAAACACTAGACCCCATTGACTTCAATTGTATTGACAAAAAAAAACAGACATTTTAAAAATATGTTCTTATGTGTTCTGCAAAAGAAAGTAAGTCATACATTAGGGTTGTGACGGTGGGGAAATTTTCCCACCGGTTAATCGACGTGTGACAACACCAGTAATACCGGTATCACCGTTGCACATTTTACTTTCACTTTCAAATTAGCGGCAATTGAATTGCTGCAATTCTGCATTAAGCAATTGTTCGTTTGAGTTTTCCCTCTTTTCCTCAGATTTCTTGGCTTTCAAATAGCTTGAAAAAGCGCCATGCGTGTTTTACTTTCACTTTCAAATTAGCGGCAATTATTACAATTAACAAAAATTTTTTAAAATAGTTTTTAGTTCATGATAATAAACAAAACACTAGACCCCATTGACTTTAATTGTATTGACAAAAAAAAACAGACATTTTAAAAATATGTTCTTATGTGTTCTGCAAAAGAAAGTAAGTCATACATTAGGGTTGTGACGGTGGGGAAATTTTCCCACCGGTTAATCGACGTGTGACAACACCAGTAATACCGGTATCACCGTTGCACATTTTACTTTCACTTTCAAATTAGCGGCAATTGAATTGCTGCAATTCTGCATTAAGCAATTGTTCGTTTGAGTTTTCCCTCTTTTCCTCAGATTTCTTGGCTTTCAAATAGCTTGAAAAAGCGCCATGCGTGTTTTACTTTCACTTTCAAATTAGCGGCAATTCACCGTTGATTCAATTCAAGCAACAACGTCAAACTCCTAGAACTTTTATTAACAAAACAAATAAAAAATACACCATATATGCCTAATAAAATAACAAATTACTTAGGCTACACAAAGCTTAAATCGGTATATAATACTGAAAATCAGCAAACACTGTGCCAACCAAATAAATAAGAAACAAAGTTTATTAGCAAAACGAATAAGAAAGCTTGGAGGCACGGCATATACACCTTGATGTAAAATAAAATACACAAAGTTTAAATCGGTATATAATACTGAAAATCAGCAAACACTGTGCCAACCAAATAAATAAGAAACAAAGTTTATTAGCAAAACGAATAAGAAAGCTTGGAGGCACGGCATATACACCTTGATGTAAAATAAAATACACAAAGTTTAAATAAAGTAATCAGCAAACACTTTGGAACCAAATAAATAAGAAACTTAATGTTTAAAAAAACCTCCAGTCAGTAGGCTTTTCAAAATCTAAAATATTGCCAAACAGGCGCCTTTGCATTTCCTTTCTAAACAATCTTCTGCCATCGTCTTGTCTTTCTCACCTCACTCTTGTCAGTCAGCTCGACTCGCTCTCCTCACGTGATAAATAAAATCTGACTCCTGCTCCGTGGTGTACTGTCGTTCGCGCACAGTTCGGCACGCTGCATTGAGCGTTTCGTTTTTAAAAGTGTCTGTCCTCTAACTGAACTAGGCTAAATGATTTTTGTTTCTATAAAAAAATCTAAACGACGGTGGGGGGGGCGGTGCCACTGTATGCAAATGACGTAAACGGTGTTGCGGCTTAACACCGGTATAACCAAAAACACCATCTATCGCAGCAAGCCTATCATACATATGGAACTGCATGAGAGTGAGTAAATGACGAATCAGAATAATTTTAGGTAAACTATCCCTTTAAGAGAAACTAACAGAAAAGCATGTCACTTGCATGAATCTGCCAGCTTTGCCTTGTTCCTGAGGTGCTTTAGTAGTGAATATTGTGTTGTTGGGCATTACCATCTTTTCCTCACTGCAGATCTATGCTAGGGCATCAGAGTAGCCTACACTTTAACTGCTGCACCTAGGGAAACCCCACAGCTGGCAACCGGCACTAGTGCTTAATTAAGTCGGCTCTTGGTCTGTGCAGCTCTTTTTATCCCACCCCAGTCTTATTCAAGCAAAAAATATGCTATATCAGCTGCTTGTAATCATTATCTTCCTTTTGTACCACCCACAGCCAGGAGCCACCAAGATGAGAGCTCATTGTTTAATGTTTCATCTTAGCTCTGATCTCTGAGGAGTGTGGGCGCTCATGTTTCTCTTTTAATGATGTCAGATTAGTCTTCCATCTATCACAAGCAGGACTTTATTAGGTATACATCCTTGCAGGTAGCATATTCAAACAAATGCTGGAAGTCATAATATAGAATACACACCCAAATATGAAGTTTAGGAGATTATGCTCATGTGTTCATCATTTTGTGATGTACTGATGTTCAGGGACATGGGCTGAGAACAGAAGTCAAACAGATGATAAAGGGCATGAATAGAGGTGTCACGGCAAAACTCTGGTTATATCAAAATAACTCCTTGTTTGTAACTTAGGGCACCTGGGAGTACAAAACACTGGAGACCTTGTGGCCCTCAGGGTGCACAGTCTTGTTTAATGTGCTTTGTCTTGTTTGTGTCAGTGGGGTTTGGCTACTACCTAATTCATCCTCCGAGATCAAGAAACTGGTAACTAATGGCCAGTGCATTGCACACTGCTTTAAAATTGTGTTGTCTTGCTCTAATTTCACAGGTATTGCCTCAAACACATCCTACACATTCATGCTTCCCATTTCTGTCTTATTTCAGCTTTTAAGTTTTGTAAAACTAATATGTAACACATATAAACCATTTTATGATACAAACCCGATTCCAAAAAAGTTGGGACACTGTACAAATTGTGAGTAAAAAAGGAATGGAATAATTTACAAATCTCATAAACTTATATTTTATTCACAATAGAATATAGATAACATATCAAATGTTGAAAGTGAGACATTTTGAAATGTCATGCCAAATATTGGCTCATTTTGGATTTCATGAGAGCTACACATTCCAAAAAAGTTGGGACAGGTAGCAATAAGAGGCCGGAAAAGTTAAATGTACATATAAGGAACAGCTGGAGGACCAATTTGCAACTTATTAGGTCAATTGGCAACATGATTGGGTATAAAAAGAGCCTCTCAGAGTGGCAGTGTCTCTCAGAAGTCAAGATGGGCAGAGGATCACCAATTCCCCCAATGCTGCGGCAAAAAATAGTGGAGCAATATCAGAAAGGAGTTTCTCAGAGAAAAATTGCAAAGAGTTTGAAGTTATCATCATCTACAGTGCATAATATCATCCAAAGATTCAGAGAATCTGGAACAATCTCTGTGCGTAAGGGTCAAGGCCGGAAAACCATACTGGATGCCCGTGATCTTCGGGCCCTTAGACGGCACTGCATCACATACAGGAATGCTACTGTAATGGAAATCACAACATGGGCTCAGGAATACTTCCAGAACACATTGTCAGTGAACACAATCCACCGTGCCATTCGCCGTTGCCGGCTAAAACTCTATAGGTCAAAAAAGAAGCCATATCTAAACATGATCCAGAAGCGCAGGCGTTTTCTCTGGGCCAAGGCTCATTTAAAATGGACTGTGGCAAAGTGGAAAACTGTTCTGTGGTCAGACGAATCAAAATTTGAAGTTCTTTTTGGAAAACTGGGACGCCATGTCATCTGGACTAAAGAGGACAAGGACAACCCAATTTGTTATCAGCGCTCAGTTCAGAAGCCTGCATCTCTGATGGTATGGGGTTGCATGAGTGCGTGTGGCATGGGCAGCTTACACATCTGGAAAGGCACCATCAATGCTGAAAGGTATATCTTAGTTCTAGAACAACATATGCTCCCATCCAGACGTCGTCTCTTTCAGGGAAGCCCTTGCATTTTCCAACATGACAATGCCAGACTACATACTGCATCAATTACAACATCATGGCTGCGTAGAAGAAGGATCCGGGTACTGAAATGGCTAGCCTGCAGTCCAGATCTTTCACCCATAGAAAACATTTGGCGCATCATAAAGAGGAAGATGCGACAAAGAAGACCTAAGACAGTTGAGCAACTAGAAGCCTGTATTAGACAAGAATGGGACAACATTCCTATTCCTAAACTTGAGCAACTTGTCTCCTCAGTCCCCAGACGTTTGCAGACTGTTATAAAAAGAGGGGATGCCACACAGTGGTAAACATGGCCTTGTCCCAACTTTTTTGAGATGTGTTGATGCCATGAAATTTAAAATCAACTTATTTTTCCCTTAAAATTATACATTTTCTCAGTTTAAAGATTTGATATGTCATCTATGTTGTATTCTGAATAAAATATTGAAATTTGAAACTTCCACATCATTGCATTCTGTTTTTATTCACAATTTGTACAGTGTCCCAACTTTTTTGGAATCGGGTTTGTACATTTATGGTGGTTTTTCCATCCTTTTTGAAGCTTGAAAGCTTCAGTTTCCATTTTAATTATGGAAAAATGAACAGTACATTCTTCTTCTTTTGTGATCCATGAAAGAAAGAAATTCTGAAAGTAAGTAAGTTTGGAATAACATGAGTGTGAGTAAATGGCAGTTTTCATTTTTGGATGAACTATGCCTTAAGTTAGGACAAATGATGGCTGTTGCAGGAAAACCTGATTTGTCCAAAATATGAGCTGTTCGCTTTCTGCAGTATCAAGGGAAATGGATATGTAATGGTTGGTCACTTTTCTGCATACTTTTGGTTTCTAGCTGTGTATAGCTAATGTCTCTGGAGCTTTAGATGAATGCAGCTTCTGCCTTCCTGTCTGAAATCAAACCTAGTGAAAGAGACATTTGCTGTCTTTGAGGGACTTTTTCCTGCGTCTGCAGTTCTGACAGCTGCTGTACCCTTGACGCAATGATCGGAGCACTTTTTGACCACTTACAGTGCATATGTGCTGTGATGGGCCAGTGCCAATAAATCTACTCTTCTGGTTTTATTTATTTATTTATTTTTTCCACAGCATTGCCATGGCAACCAAGGAGAACATGACCTCCCAGCGAGGATTGTTGAAGTCTATACAGAGCAGGGTCAACACCCTGGCCAGTATCCTTGATTTCTACAAGGAGTGCGTGTATGCATTAGGGTTGCATAATGTATCAGTGCAATATTGATTATTGGTTTATTGGAATCTGCCTACTTTGGATATGTTAGTGTTCATTTCCCCTGGTTTTACATTTATATTACCTTTGCCATCATGGAACACTCCCTAAGTTAAAACACATCATTTATTAATACTGTTAAATGTAAAGTATCAACATCAGAATTGTAATACCCGAATTGTAATAAGCCACATCCATCTTCTTAAATCCATTCTTGAAAAATACTTGCTGTCTGTATTTGAGAAAAGACTATGTTGTATTTCCTTAATTGATCCCCTACTTCAGACCGTTTCCCTGCCATCAATAACCTAATACAGCGGATCAACTTGAGGAAGAGAAGGGACTCATTAATTCTGGGAGGAGTCATCGGCATCTGCACCATCCTTCTGCTGCTATATGCATTTCACTGACAGACAGGGGAGCTAACCGACTTCTTTTGGGGGGAGTTCTGCAGAGCAGTGGCGAAACCTTGAGAAAGGGCTCAATGAGAGGCGGACCATTGGGGCCACAAAACAGAAGCCCACCTGGCCTAGTCTGGTAACAGGATTGATTGTAGCCAGCATGGACCTTATTTGTATTTAGCACTGGGAGGGGTTTAGCTCTAACAGCCTTTTTTTGTTTCTATACTACAAACAATGCGCTGTTCAGATGTAAACTGGGACTGGAGACCAAATTACTAACAGAAATAGATTTCAAAGAGCATATTATAACACAGTGGCGTTGAGACAAAAGCGATGCTGTGGAGCATCAACTTGGCGTTGTGCTGTTCCTGTATATTATTAATCGGAAGGGGGTTTTAATTTGATGATCCATTTAGAGGGTTTCTCATCATGCTGTGTACTTTGTGAATTAATAAATTATTCATATACAGGATATTAAAAATGTGTGTCAAACACTAGAGGTCTGTCCTCTAAAGCTTCTATTTTTTAGATATTTCTAAACACTCTCGTCGATGACATTTTACACTGGAGAAAGGAATGTTGGAAACCAAAAATAAAAAACTTGCATTGCCATATCTAACCCTTCTCTTTCAAGGTGCTTTTGTTTTATGCTTTTACTGATGTGTTTTAAAGTCAAGAGCAGGTTCAAGTTAAGAAAATCTGGCTAAACCAACAAGCCTGTACTCGCACCCCATGGCCACTTGTCTAAGCTGGCTTGCATCCACACAGCTCCTCCTATGAAACTGGAGTGTGAGACAGAAGCAGGCCAGAGCTTTAACATGATGAATATACAAGCTGAAAACCATTGATCCAGGCGAATGAAAAACTAGCACAGGGATTGCATGTAGAGGTAAGACCAGCACTCTACGCAGCAGGGTTGTAGGAAAGCGAAGCAAGGATTGGAAGCCTTATTGTCACCACCTGATTCTCTATCCCTCTTGTGTTTACAAATGATGTCCCATCCATAAAAGTGAGCGTTTACGCTGAGTCTCTCACATCTGGAGCAGTCAGACCGGCTGGCTATATGCCATAGTTCTTGTTAGACTGGTGGAATCTGTTTGTCTGAGGTATTTCCATAGATGCATAAAGAGAGAGTGATGTGCACATAAACTCAATATAATCGCTCAATTGAGAAATCGGCTTCCCCAAAACAATAAACTAGAATAGGCTGTTTGAAACTAAGAAATCTTTCCTCCCTTTTCCTCTGTTCCCTGGTGGTCCATTATCTAAAGGTCGCATCATTCTCCTGCTGTTCCAGTCCATACATTGACCAGGTGCCCTGAAATGCAGAACAAATGTAGAGGGACACAGGGTCTTTTACAGAAGAAATGGGCTGCATTGACCAAAGGTTTATCACAGATCACCATAGGAGGTGTTTCTCACCATACTTCCAGAGAGTTTATTGTTTTGATGGATTTTGTGGCAACAGCACTAAAATATCTAAAAGATGCTAATTGTAGATGAGAGCAAGATTACAGCAAGAGTCACGAATGAAGTACCTTGTAGTTTTTTTCTTCCTAAATGTGTCTGTAGTATAGAGGTACTGCAGCAGTCATTTGGAAGCTAATAGGCCACACACAGAACTCCACTGGAAGTCTCCTCAGCTCCTCTGCTGATTGAAACATGCTCTCTTTACACCAGCCCAGAGAATAAATGATTTTTTAAATGTTAATTATTTTATGAATTAATTTGTCACCTCCGTATTGTTTTTTGCTCTGTATGTTGCCTTTTGTGCTTTCCTAGTGTTTTTATGATGGTACTCCTACCTGATATGAGGTGAGAATGGAGACATGACGCACATTACCTGCTCTGCTATTGTGGAATATTTTCATTAATCTTGATTCAATATAATGTATAGAATTATGTCTATCCATAAGAGAAAATTATTCTACTATTATCCACTATTATGTATTTGGCTGTGTGCGAGAGGATGCAGTGTGCTTAGAAGAGAGTAAACTATTTAAAGCAGCATGGAATACACTCATAAATGGAAAAGGACCTTTTCCTTAAAGGGGTCATATGATGTTGCTAAAAAGAACATTATTTTGTGTATTTGGTGTAATGAAATGTGCAAGCGGTTTAAGAAAAACACATAATTTTCCACATACTGTACATTATTGTTTCTCCTCTATGCCCCGCCTTTCTGAAACGCATTTTTACGAAGCTCATATGTCTGAAAAGCGAGGTGTGTTCTGATTAGCCAGCTATGCAGTGCGTTGTGATTGGCCGAATACCTCAAGCGTGTGACGGAAATGTTATGCCCCTTACCAAATTGTGATGCCTTGTCCCGGCCGAAGCGACGAGACAAAAACATTAAAACCCATTATAAACGAGGCATTTGTTGCATCCAGTGGAGACATAATTACGGATTATACTGACTTATATTGTCTTTTTTACGCTTTGCGTTGCATCACGCCGCGCAAACATAAACTGATTTCTAGTCGTGTCCAATTTTGGAAGACCAAACAAAGTAGTTTTGCTTTCACAACAAAACACACAGCGTCACACACGGCGGGCTTGAGTGAGCGGCGGCCGGCGGGCTTGCGGCAACCACATGTGACGACCCCGGGCTGGACTCTGCTTCGTCCACGGTGAAAGGCGATCCACAGCGAGAAAGTTGATGTATTTCCTCAGCGACCAGCACGGATCAGCTCTAGGACAAAGCGAATATCATCCTCTTTTGGAAGACCAAACAAAGTGGTTTCGCTTTCGGGGCTACAGGAGCAAGTACATGACTGGTTCAGAGAATGTAACTGATTATCCATCAGGTGCTCATATATAATAAGTAGAATATTTTGATTAGAATATAATTAAATTGAGTGTAATCTATGAGAATAGTACCAAAGAAAGTTTACTAAAATCTTGAACAGTAGCTCTAGAGAAACATGATCACCTATTTCAGTCCTGGATGGAAATGTTCATGGTGAAGCCCTTGGCTAATGTTCACTGCTTAAAATACCACAAGCACATATATGGAAAGTATTGATCACCTTTAAGGGTATATATATGTGAGTTTGAGACTGGACTCTGAAGTTGTCTTTGCAAATATAACTCAAACTTTGTTATCTTGTTAATAAAGTCTATCTGGTTTCAAAACCTCCAAGACTTCAGAGCAATTTATTCTAACCAGAAAAAAATCTACAACACTATTCATGAATTTTGAGGTATGACAGCTCTGGAATTTTTTTGTGTTTTTATTCCTTTGCTCAGTTGAGGGTAAAGTAGTCTGCTAGCAAAACAGTTCTCTGAATGTAGCACTACACAGTGAAGCCCTTTCTGCTTAATTTCATCAATAGTTGCAGCTGTGTATTAATGTGTGAGTGAGGGGGTCATGTAATACTTGGTTTCCTGGGCGGCTTTCCAAAAAGTTACAGATGCTGAGTAGTCAGCAAGTCTGAAACTGGAGACTTACAGAGATCACAATCTTACTCTGTCACCATTGTGCCCTTGAGCGAGACACTTAACCTGAAGTTATTCCAGGGCAACTGTAGTGACGATTAGCCTACATCAGGGGTGGCCAATGTCCTGCAGAGTTTAGCTCCAAACTTACCTTGCTCCAACACACTTGCCAGAACATTTCTAACTTCGCATCTTTGTTGGGACCATCCCTACACTTGAACTAAACAATAAAGTAGACATTGAATTATTGGTTTGTGTGTCATTGCACCAAAAAATGATGTTGATGCAGAAACACGTACTACAGTACTTGTGTAAATCACATTAACCACATTTTAAGCCACACGAGGGGAATATGGAAATGTCACCCAGTGCATGCAAAACCTAACTAGCTTGTTGAGAATTTTTTTATTCTGGTGCATTGGCAGTAAAGGTTGTTTTAGATCTGTGGTTCTTTTTTGACTTCAAGGCCTCCCATTGTCAACAACAATATTCAAACTCATTATTTTGATTTTACAAAGCCATGTATTATTTTTAAAAAATGAGCGAGTTAATTAAAATAAGAAATATTTAGATTTTTAGATGTTTTTTCTTATGAGAATTGGTGGGCGGGGCTAAACAGGCAGTGCTGCAGAAGCAGGCGTTGATCTTCTGCAGAGGCGGTGTTTAGCCACACTATTGCGTCATAAAGTGGCACATTCCACAAGCTGACGTTTTGGCAGATTGGCTTCAATAACTGTTTTTAGACTAGCGAGAAAGTTTTGAGTTCTGAAACTTGCAGGATGTTTTTATAGCTCTTATATGTCAAAAGATCAAAGGAATTTTGATTTCTCAGTTCATTAACTCTTTAAGTAATTCTAAGTCATCTTGAGGCCCTGTTGGATATTTGCCTCGGCCCCTGGTTGAGAACCATTGTTTTACATCACATATATCCATGTCAGGGTATCCCGGTCAGGAATATAAGTCGCATCTGTGAGATTGTGATAGAAAAGCCAGTGCAGGGTTACATTAATTTGTATATCTCAAAAATAAATGTAAAAATGGACATGCAAAGATGTTATACAATTCATTATATTTTGAAAGATTTAAATTCTTTTAACATCTCACAGGGTACTTCAGGTAAACAATTTAGCTCCTTGTGGTTCCTGCTGACAAAAAGCTCTGTTTTTGTCGTTTCTTCTCCTTGCAAATAAAACCATTTTGGATTGTGATGCTAGATGACTAATAATGGCATTTTAGCCTCATTAAGCTGGTGGCTAGATTTGTGAGTACTTAAACACTTTGTGTCACTGTGAGAGAAGGCTGTTAGTGCTGAGTGCTGGAGTGAGGCCGGGCAGAGGGCCATACTTAGGGATCAGAGAACCAGGGAAGTGCAAAATCAGCCAGTAGATCTTGTGCCATTTCCTTAGCCATGCATTATGTACAACAGCAATAGTCAGTAGCATGAAAAATGAAGCTTGTGTATATGTGCGCTTTGGGCAGGAAGGCTTTGAAAGCTGTTGTCTTGCTATGTTTCTTTGTGTGGAAAGCTGAACATTTCGCTTTTTGCTAATGCAACAATTTCCTTGCTGATGTTTCTTTGCCACTGTGCTGTACACAGTCAATAACTGCAAGCCAGTTGTGGACCATGCATGTTAATGTTTATTTCACACTTGCAAAGGTACACATTAATAACCTAACATAGAAAAACAGATATACAAGTGAACCAAGGATCCAAAGTTGTATATAATAAATCACAGTTTTAAAAGACACACAGCAGCATTTTTGCATCTCATTCATATTGGCATAATGGGTTTTATGAACAACACAGTAACATAATTGCTTATAGTGAACAAAAGAGTCATGAGAAGCAGAAAAAAAGAGCATTAGATCACATTAATTCACAAAATAGTACATTATTCAGCATAATGCCTATAAATGTGAAATGCTCATCTTAGGTGTTTAGGTACTAACAGTCTATTTTTAGGAGATTATACATGAAAGTCATACTTTTAGCATTCAAAACATATTGACAGGACATGAGAATATTGATGAAAAGTAAGTGCTTTGAAATCTATGACAGGGCAGTGAAAAACTTAATTCAGTATGAATGAAGCAGATCAATAGACTGAGCTGTGAAACATTTCCTTCTTAACTGTCACTCGGTCTAACTAACTAGCCAGATAAGTGCTGTTATCTATCTGTACCTCCGATTTTACAATCTTTAATTTTCACATATTAATAGCAGATCAGAGATGCAAAAAACACTGTGAGATGCGTCAAAGCAAAGTCCCGTACACATAAGCTCATTCTATGTGAAGATTAAAAAAAAGTGTTTTGTCCACCCACAGCATGCCTAAATATTTCTATAAATATATTGATATATATATCTCATATTAATAAGGGATAAGTAGGGAGATTTATGACAGGGAAACTGGCATTCTGTCCTGGAAAGAACTCCAGGTAAAGATGAATAGTCCTGTGATTTGTTTAGCATACTGATATAAAGGTCTTGGCACAGAATGGTGCTGGCCGTTGCATGCCTCTAGATGAATGTCCATGCTCCCGCAGTTTTTGTCAGGGAAGAGAGGGCTGGCATGCGTAACGATACAGTCTTACCTCTCTGAGAGAATCTATACTAGTATGGAACGTGTAGTGGAACCTCATGGCTAAAGGCAGAGCTCTCCATGAACATTGTGCCGTTGAGAGAATATAGCATTTGATACACTGGACAATGATGTACATTCCCATCTTTAAATACCCTCTACTCTTACAGATAAAAAACATAGTAATGAAAAATGCTGACA